TTCTCTCTCTCTCTCTCTCTCTCTCTCTCTCTCTCTCTCTCTCTCTCTCTCTCTCTCTCTCTCTCTCTCTTTCTCTCCCTCCCCACCCCACTCTCATCCCCTCCCTCTCAATTGCAATTAAGTGAGGCGCCTACTTTGAACGCATTTATATTTGGTAAAACAAACACATTTTATTTGTTCAGCCAGGTTTTCAGTTCAGAGAGATTGCTCAAACAGAAAAAAAACACCAAATCGAGGATTTTGTTATCTTTCGGTTTACTGCTGCTTTTGGATTAACCGTGTTCGGTTCATGTGAACTCCACTGTATTTTTACACCCCGTCGGCACAATCAATTATTATCGTTCAGGAAGTGGACAGGTTTGACTCACTTTGATCCTGTCTTTAGAAATAGCCTAGATGAGAGGGATATAGTATAGCGCCTACGCATGAAAACAGAGATACTCGGTACTCAATAAATATTTCATTTTTTAAGGAATCCCCATTGGTGAATTGAAAAGTACAACCTCCTCTTGCGACGGTGAAGAGCCTAACCGCTGCACCACCAGGCACTGGTACGGGATTTAAGTTTCACTTTCACCTTTAAAGAATTAAATGTAGGCGTCTTTACACCAACATCGACACAATTTAGATCATTTTGGAGGCGGGCTGCAGACATTGCCTGTCAGGGCCAATTTTGGTTGACAGGGACGTATTATACCTACGATTCTGTCACATTGAATAACAAGGCGAAATCCCATGTCTCACACCACTGAAAATATCAGCAGTAGAAACTACATCAGCAACAACAACATAAACGTGAACAACAACATTAACATAATCAAAAACAACGAAATCAACATCAGCTACAACAACAATAACAAAGAACAGTGAGAACAACAATAGAAACAAAAAGACAAACAAGAGAATCAACTACAAAACATAAAAACTCCAATAACAATAACAATAGCCATACAAACAAAAACAACAACAACAACAACACTGGATACAACATGACGGTAATGAACGATAGAACACGCACACACGTACCAACACCAAGTCGAGGCTTGACAACTGTTCCAACCCCAATCCCTCTCCATCTACCCCACTATCCACCGGAGGAAAAAAGTGCCCCCAATGTCTCTATATGTGGGTCAACATAGAGCGGGAAGCACACTTGGTGCCCAGTAGACGGAATTGGCAGCTCTGACCATGCACCCATTTCCGCGACCCTTAACACTGAGGTCAGCCATGGGTAAGTATTCAAGGGTCAGGTCACCTGGAAATCGTTCGGCGTCGACTGGAAAGCTTTCACTGACGCCGTTGAACGTGACAGTGTGACGAGAATGCCTTCGAACAACCACATCCGCAACATGGTGTCTGAATTCCACACTGCCCTGATGGACGCCGGTACCCATGTTGTAGACACTGTGAAACCATGCAGGCACACAAAGACATGAGAAATCTCCACAGTTCGAAGAGCAATCCGGAGGCGAAATAGACTCCGGAAAGAGATGCGAACCCGCCACAAAGAATGGCTAGAGTCGTGCCACGTGGCTCAAGCGGCGATCAAAGAAGTCAAGACCGACGCCTGGCGAAAACTGCTCGAGAAAAATACCAACTCGCAGGACGACGCCAAGATGTGGAAAATCATAAAAAGCTTCAACGGTACCCCTAAGACAAACTCGCTAAATGAAACAATGTCCCACAATGGGCGACTAGTAACATCAAGCAAGAATAAGGCAGATATATTCGAAGACCACAATGCGAACGTCTGCAGTCTAAACATGTCGAAAGAAGACAGAGCCGAAAACCGGCAACCCAAACAGCGACTGAAATACTCACGGAACAACCCAAGGGCAGACCAGCCCGATTTCACTATCGCGGAACTGAGGAATGCCAGTGCAAAAATGAAGTCCCGCGGATCACCCGGACCAGACAACATCCCTCCATCCTTCCTCAAAAACCTGGGTCCCACAACGCTTGAGAAACTGCTCTCCATCTTCAACATGTCTTTTCGCTCAGCAGATGCCCCACAAGTCTGGAAAGACGCCATCATGCCCCCCCCCTTCCTCAAGATTGCCAAACCAGCATAGGAACTAACGTGGTTTAGACCGATAAGCCTCACATCCTGTGTCATCAAAGTTATGGAGAGAATGGTATCTGACCGACTGTGCGACATGGCCGAGCGGAACATCTGGTTCTCCGAACTGCAGGGTGGTTTCAGGAAAGGAAGAGGTGTGGAAGACCAAATTCTGAGAATTACGCAAAAGATTTCCGATGGCTTCCAAAAGAAGGAGAAATTGGTACTCGTCCTCCTCGATTTTTCAAAGGCATACGACACGGTCTGGGGAGAACGCCTACTCCACACTCTCCTAGAATGAGGTATCCCAGATACATACGTTTTGTGGCTAAATGACTTCCTTCAAAATCGTCAAGCCTGAGTCCGATTCAACGGAACATTGAGTAAGAACAGAAAAATTAGCCAAAGCCCCCCACAGGGTTCCGTCCAGGCACCCATCCTCTTCCTCTTTTATATCGACGAACTGGAGAAACTACTTTCGCATAATCTAACAATTTCACTCTACACTGACGACTTCTCTATCCTCGCTTCATCACACACGGCACGAGACGCCGTAAGTCTGGCACAAAGAGGGGTGGACATAGTTGCTGACTGGAGCAGGCGACGGAAACTTACACCGAGCGGCTCGAAGAGCGAGACTATATTCTTCACGCTCGCAACATCTGACTTGGAATGGAAGCCATGCATTACAATCAATAATTCGACAATACATTAAGTATGGGCAATCCGCAAGAATTCTTGGAGTCACACTCGACCGCAGGCTTACGTTCAGCAAATAGGTTGAGACAGTAATACCTAAGGCCACACAGAAGGTGAGGATGCACGGCGCTGTCGTGCACTCAAAATGGGGATGGACGAAAGACGACCTACGCAAGGTCTACCTAACCCATATACAGAGAGTCCTCAACTTTGCGAACAGCAAGCGGCAACCGTGGCTGAGCAAAACTCTGATAAATAATCTGGAGGTGGTTCAAAATAGATGTCTGCAACTGATCACCACTCAAGCCCAGTCCTCACCGCTCGAGGCACTTTGAGCTGAAACGGGGTTCCCAAACATTGAGATCACCATCAATGCTAACTGCCTCCGATCAAGAGAAAATGAACAATGACCACCCCCGACAAATTGCGGCAACGGAACAAGTGCAAAGACGCCTAAAAGGACGCAGAGATTTAAAAAAACTGCGAGAGGAGGCCAATTACTTATTTTGAAACCAGGCCGAGGGAACGGGGAATCACCCCCGACATCGCTTCCCCCCCCTGTACGGCATGAGCGGAAGGAGTGACTCCAGTTTGAAGATCCGAAGCGCTGCCCTTCGCCGAGCACGAGAGCTTGGCGCACAGTACATTATCTACACTGACGGCTCGGCGACTGCAAGAACAACGGATGGCCCGTCCAATCCGATCGTTGTCGAGATGTTGAGGGAGAAAGGCGCCATATTCACGTGCTCTTTCGAGGAAGAGAGGAGAGCCTTGGAAATGGCCATTGACTAGATCGACAAACAGTGTGATGCCTCCAACTCTGTCGCTTTCTTCACTGACAATCAATCGCTATGCATGGCACTAATGGGAACATTACCATCCCTCGACCAAATACGACCACGCATAAATAATGCAACACCTCAACCCACGATTCAGTGGATCCCTGGTTACTGCGATATCCTCGACAACGATCTCGCAGACAGTAGTGCTAAACTGGCAACAGCACTGCCGGGTCCAGGCCGCCAAATTGCATATGAAAGTGCGTGCGCCCAGATAAAACTGATCACAAAAGACCCCCCGATATCCTACACGTGGACGAAGGAAATATACAGGGCAATTTCCTTAAAACAAGAGGCTCAAATTAAGTCCCTCTGTGACTACTGGCAAAAATGAGGACCGGTCACTTCTCTGTGCTGCGGCCTAAAAAATGGAAGAGACAAAACATCGGACCCAATCTGTCCATTGTGTAG